TCAGGAACCAGCGCAGCAGCCAAAGCATTCGTCCAACCCTTTAGAAAGAGCTTATCTCGCAGCACTAGCACCTCTTCCTTATAGGCAGCCCCAGCTTCATCCCAACCCTGTTGCCAGTGTTTGGCTTCCAGCGCAGAACGCTCGGCAGCCATCACGGCAATAACGGCCTCCAGTTCGGCCACCTCTCCCTCGAGTTGAGCCTGTGTCCCAATAGCAGCCTCCTTCGATTGTTCAACTGAAGCGACAATCTTGTTCAAACAAAATGTTTCATTCTCTGCAGTTCGGCGTCCTTCTTTCTCTGTCTCCAAGCTTACCGTCAGTCTTTCAGTGTTCATTGCGGCCTCCAGCACGGCCCTTTCTAGCTCTTCAGCACGAGTAATGGACAGATGCGTTCTCTGGATACACTACAAAGGACAACGAAGAATTAAGAGAAAATGAGACAGCAACGCAACAATAAAGACAAGTAAAACGAGGAAACACTTACAACAGTCATCATCTGAAGGGTCCCCTTCAAGATAGGAATATCACGGGGCCCATTATGGTCAGCCATGTCAACCGACATCAACAAAAACTTAGTCAAATCAAAGGCAAAATCTTGTGAAGCGACAATTGAATCAGAAGTGGAAATGGGCCTGCCTTTATGCGACATTGGCGGCTCCTATTTCTCAAAAGCCTCATCCTCAGCAGGATCCTCAGAAGCTTCCCCCACCACTGCTTTGCCAGCTTCTCTTTTTCTCTTTTTTGCTTGCGCAGCGACCGAAGCTGAGGGCTCGGCAGCAGTTGCAGGGGTCCCAGAAGCTCCCACCTCCATCTTCACTTCCATGAGGCTCTTCGCCTCGGTCTTTTCCAGAGGGGTTTCCAAAACATCGGAGGCTCCGAAAGCCTCAGCCTCTAAATCCACCAATACCCTTCTCTTCGCCACAAACCCACCCCCTGCGAAACTGGAGGCAGGAGAGGGCGATCTCTCAGAAAGTGCACCCTGACTCCTGTGACGGTTCGTGACCAAAGGAGTGAGAGACGTGTCAATCTCGGTATCAAAGTCTGGAAGGGAAGTAGCGAGCCTCGCCTTCTTTGGAATAGTGAAGCGGTAAGTAGACTGGTAATCCAATAACTTGGGTGCAGATCTCTTTTTATACCTCAGGGCAGCTTTTATGGCTTCAGTATTCTCTCGGTTCGGTCTTCGTTGGAAACGAAAGGCCTCTGCAAAAAAGAAGTGACCCATTAGAGCAACATCCAAAATAAAGTAAGAAATACAAAAGGCATTAGAAGGAGAGGCCCGAACCTGGGTAGCTGTCTTTCTGGGGCATCTACTAAGACTAAAACTCAGTTCCGGCGGGGAACTCCCAGTTTCCACCAACTTGTAAGAAATCATCGTTGTGTTTATCCGAATCGGGCAACCCAATAACCAAATGGCAATCAAACGAGCAAACATGCAAGTAATACGTGTTGTGGTCTTTGTTATGAGAAAGAGTATAACAACCTAAGATATCCCATATGTCAAGGTTCAAACCCAATCGTCTATTGAGGGCGGATACGCCGCAAACAACATGGAAAAGGTTCACAGATACTTGCATTGGGGTTAACTGGACTTGATGTAGAAACCGGAGCACCAACGGATCAAGGGGAAACCGAACCCCTCCCTCGACTATGGCCGCGATGGGAAAAGTGACGGTATTCCTCGTGCCCATACGCTTGGCGTCTACCTTCGCCAACGAAAGGGTAACGTCGTCGAGAATATTATAGTCTAGGCGGAACATAGCCATGGCCTCGGGGGTATCAACTAGTGAGCGGAACTTCCCTATTTAACAAACCTAATGGGACAAAGGTAGGACTCAGATAACAGAGTGTGGAACACAGACAGCGAGTGGGCCAAACAAGATGATTAAGATAGAAAGAGGCAAGAGAAGAAGAATCACAAAAGGACTTGCAGAGACTAGAACAGTGGTAGCAGAGCAAGACCAGCGGCGAAAAAGTCTGAGCAGAGCACCAACGAGACTGGTTCAGAGGAACGGGAAGAGTTCTTTCTCTCTCTTTGAAACTCTCTAGAGGAACGAAAAAGCAAATAAAGGGATTTGTATTGACAGCCAAAGCATTAATTGCACTAGCCGGCGTGCAGGTACACGAAGCACGACCTTCAGTATGGAATCGACGCACTATCTCTGCACACCTATCTCACATCGCCACGTGTCAACATGAAAGGACACATGCAGGGATTGTGTCAGGATTGAACCGTCACCAAGGCCGAACTAGGGAAAACCGAAACGACGCGACGCTTGGGAAGCAGAACAATAGCTCCCCCCAAGGGGAACCTTAGCACAAGCTAGGGGGCAAATGAAGTGGCTAAATGTGAAATGGGTCGGGTCTAAGCCTTGGGCCAACCCAATCCACTGAAGTCCAAACCCAAATGGGTTGGATGAGTATATGGGCAAACCAATTGAGCCCAACTTCATGATCAACTATCCACCCAAGTCCTCAAGCACTTGGGCCCAACCCGCAGTGGAAAGGCTAGTCCAGCCGTGGTGCTCGGCTGGGCCGAGCTGCGAGACTGAACCTATGGGCGGAACAGAAAATAAGCCGAGCCCATACAAAGATATCCAAATGGATCAGCCCATCTCCATGAATGATCCTGTAAGAGGCCGAGACAAGGCATAATGATGCCGAGCTGAGGCATAGTGGTACCGTGCTGAGGAAACCTCGCAAGGAAACGTGGAAGTTGTGAATGTGTGCATGTGCAAGTTGCCACCTCAGCTCGTCCCCTACACCTAGAATCACAGAAGTTGTTGAACCAAAGGAATGTTGTTTGTTATTAGCATGACTACAATGAGTATATGCATTCAATGACAACTACCAGGTGGTCCCCCACCTTGAGCAATGCTAAAAGGACACCTGGCAACATCCAAGCTCCATGAACCCACCTTGAGAAGCAAGCAAGGAACACTATATATACAACACGAACCTCACATTAAAGGTAACTGAACTATTCCAAGAAAAACCACATTTCGATATAAACTCAACTCGATATACACTCCTTCTCCGATCATTGATTCCCACACCGGAGGGGTTATCCGGCCAACCCTGGCCGGCAGCTCTAACGGTGTTTCTTGTGGCAGGAACCTCAGTTCCTGGATAGTCCAACCGAGTGCAGGGTCCCGATCCACTTTCATCTAGTACGGAATCTGGTACGCACAAAACCTATTCCAAACAAAATTTTTTAATCTCAAACTAAAATAGTCAAAGCCAAAAAAACCAACACATATCCAAACAAACCCTTAGTCGTTAATTTTGATAGAATAATTTGAACTATTGAATATAAAATATGCTAATCGGTTATAGCCCCGTTAAGTAGAGTTGTGAAAAATGATTATAGATTATAACTTAACAGATTATGACTTATAACTGTGAACATAAACTGTTAACCTGTTTGGTACAACTGTGGAATTATGGATTTAAGCAGCTGAGTAGTGTTTAGTTAATAAGCTGTAAAATAACTTTTTATTGTGTAATTGTCCTTTTTGCCTTTATATGATATAAAAATGATTATTTTGTCATTTGTTTTTCAATTTTAATTTTAAAAAAAAATATTTCATTAATAAAAGTTAATATAATTAGTATTACAAAAATTATCATTTCATTCATAGTATCAATTAGTATAAAATTATTTCATTTTTTCAATATAAATTAATTAGTGACAATTAATGGCTTAATTAACATCAATTAATACTAAAATTATTAATAGTATCAATTAGTATAATGTTTTTTCATTTTTTCATTCTAAATTAATTAGTGTCAATTAATGACTTAATTATTAATACTAAAATTATTAATAGTATCAATTAGTATAAAATTTTTTTTTAGTTTTTCATTCTAAATTAATTAGTGTCAATTAATGGCTTAATAAGCATCATTAATACTAAAATTATTAATAGTACCATTTAGTATAATTTTTTTTCAATTTTTCATTATAAATTAATTAGTGCCAATTAATGGCTTAATATGCATCAATTAATACTAAAATTATTAATAGTACCAATTAGTATAATTTCTTTCATTTTTCCATTATAAATTAATTAGTGTCAATTAATGGCTTAATAAGTATCAATTAATACTAAAATTATTAATAGTACCAATTAGTATAATTTTTTCGTTATAAATTAATTAGTATCAATTAATGGCTTAATTAGCATCAATTAATACTAAAATTATTAATAGTATCAATTAGTATTAATTTTTTTTCATTTATTCAATATAAATTAATTAGTGTCAATTAATGACACAAATGATTTTCGGGGGTTTGTTCGACATTTTCAAACTCCCGAAAATTTATCCCCTTGGTTTGATTTTGGCCTGATTGTTGATTGGGTTGGGCCTTGTTTATGTATCGCTATAATAGAAAACAGTAATGTTATATTTCTTATTTTGAATTTCTAATTGAGTTCTAATGATACGAAAATTTATACCCAGAAAAAAGAAAATTAAGGCCAAAACAGCACATTAATAGATGGGACCCACCCCTAGAGCTCATTTGGAATTCATATTTTAGAGCTCCCAAATATTTTTCAATAGAAAAATTATTTCAGCGACCATATTTTTCACTGTTTGGTATTTTTTCAGTTCATTCATTATGTGAAGTTAAAATGATTTTCAAGTGTGATTGAAAAGATGATCGCACTTAGTAATTTTTTTAGCTTTTTTGGATTATTGTGGAATCATTTGTTTTTTTTTCAAATTTCATGGCCCTCAAAATTTTGAATTTTTTGGGGCCGATCCAAGTCTTTTATTGAAAATAATTTATGGGAAGCAGTAATCCATTGATATTCCTATCTCTTAAATAATAATTTCCCTTAAAGAGCAAATTTTAGTCTTTTATTTTTTTTTAATCATCGATATTTTCTGTCTAATTAATTATTTGAATTGGATAACCAACTCGCTTAACATGATCACTGGTTTTAAAGATGATGACATGGCTAACAAAGTTTTGGGGAATGCAAAATTTAGGCTCATATGATCAAAGCAGTGAAAATATTAATAATTGAGTCACATAATGGTTCAAGAAATAATCAAAATAACCTTAGAAACAAGGAGTTGCAACAAGAATTAAGGGAAACTTTCTATGAATAGTTATCCCTGAAGATTCGGCTAAATCCATATTATCCCCTGTTACCCCTCCAGGCAACGCCCAATCAAACTTGTGCACAAGACTGGCTAACACAAGTTCAAGATTGGCAATAGCAAATACAATTCCAGGACACCCTCTTCTTCCAGCCCCAAATGGAATAAATTGAAAATTTTGTCCGTTGAAGTCTATCAAACTATTCAAGAACCTTTCTGGTCGAAACTCCTCTGGCTCTTCCCATGATAAAGGGTCTCTCCCAATAGCCCATGCGTTGATGAATACTCTTGTTTTGGTCGGGATGTCGTAGCCTTGTAATTTGACATGTTTGGTTGATTCTCGAGGAATTAGTAATGGCACCGGAGGGTGTAGCCGAAGAGTCTCTTTGATTATTGCTTTTAAATAGTGCATTTGTTCAAGATCATCCTCACTTAAGTTTGCTTTTTTAGGGGCAATTCCTCTAACCTCCTCTTGGAGTTTCTTCATTGTTGTAGGGTGCCTTAGCAATTCAGTCATAGCCCATTCTAATACTGTGTAGGTGGTATCCGCTCCAGCAGCAAACATATCCTACAAAGAATGATAAATGGATTAGGTTTATTACTATAGTTTTTATGATCCTTTGTTAGAATACAAAAACTAGATAAGGCATTTTGCATTGATGACAAAATGAACATTACAGTCAAGATTCATCGGCTAATGACAATTTTTATATTACAAATTATTGTAACATAACATTTAGTACAAAAATGCGTAACAAATATTAGAAAAATGTAGCATAAGATGCATATAATACTGAAGGGATTTCCTTTTAACTATGGGACTGTTAAAATTTAGTGTAAGAAAAGTTTTAGATTAATGGTATACTTGACAAATATTAATAATTAAAAAAATAATTACACCGTTTGTTATTGTACTTTTTGTCCATTATGTAATTTTGATTCTTGTAATTTCAATTGATTCTCTTTGTCTCAAATTGATTCGCATGTGTCATGCTTTTAATAAAAAAATTATAAACTTGATTAATTTAGTTACTTGATGTTAATTAACTTAGTAATCATTTTCTATCCAAAACTTTAAAGACGTTATCAATTGGATCAAATTAACATAAAATATAAAATTAAGGGTAAAAAATTGAGCGAAATGAAACTATAGGGATCAAAATGACACAAGTGGCAAAATGTAAGGACTATCAATGTAATTGTTCCTAATTAAAATTATAAATTTTTTCATGAATCTGTAATTATAAAAAATAAAAAATAAAAAACACTGAATTGTAATTTCCCCATTTAACTATTAGCTAGATGCAATTTTAGCCAAAAAGTTTTCAACCCATAGACTTTCATTATCACTTTACATTTTACACTTTTTTTTCATTAAAAAAAAATAAAAATAATATTCAAAAAAATCAAAAAAAATTAATAAATCCAAAACATATTAAGGCCTCATTTGGGAACAGGCTAATTTAGTAACTTTTTGGCTATTTGGCTAAAAAGGTAGGTAAAAAAAACTTGTATGTTTGGGATGACTTTTTGGCTAATTACGAAAAGATGTGCAAAAAGTAGAGAGAAAAGAGAATCTTTGACTTTTTGGTATGAGTTGTTGGCTTTTTGACTAATTTAGTAACTTTTTGGCTAATTGACTAAAATAGCCTCTTGCCAAACGAGGCCTGAATTTTTAACCAAAAAAACCCGCTGAATAAGTTACTTCCCAAAAATCACAAGAAGATAAATTAACAAAAAAATTAGAAATCATACCAAAATAATAGCTTTGAGGTTATCTCTACCCAAGGAAGCACCACCATCCATGCTACTACTACTATCTTTCTGAATTTCAAGCAAAGCATCCACTAAGTCGATTTGCTCATCTTCCCCTTTATCACCACCCTTTTTTCTTCCACTCCTCCATTGCCCCATATGATTATCAATAACCTCATCAAGAAAGCAATCAAACTCCCTAAAATTCCTCTCCACTCTCCCATTCAAACCACTCACATAGTTCACCCAACCAAGCCATGGTATAAAATCACCCACATTAAAGACACCCAACAATGCACCAAACTCTTCCAACAACTCTTTAAACTTCTTCCCTCTCTCACCTTCACTGTACTTCCTCCCAAACGCAACCCTACAAATCACATCATTCGTAAGTGAAGCCAACATTTCGCTTAAGTCCATTGGAGAAGAAGACCGGTTTTCTATCTTTTCAAGCAAGGCAATAGTCTCTTCTTCTCTCACTCGTCGAAACGAGTGAACCCTTTTGGTGTTTAGAAGTTGTAAGACACATATGCTTCTCATTTGTCGCCAGTAGTCGCCGTAGGGGGCTAAAGATAAGTCCTTCAAATCATAGAGGAGGCGTCGCGGGATGGCTGAGTTGGGCCTGCTTGAGAAGAAGAGATCATGGGTTTTCATGACCGCTTGAGCGAACTCAGCTGAGGAGACTATGAGAGTGGGGATGTTCCCAAGGTGGAGGAGAATGAGGGGGCCATGACGGCGAGCTAGGGATTGGAGAGAGCGGTGTGGTTGGGGACCTAGTTGGTGGAGGTTTCCTATGATTGGGAGCTTTGGTGGTGATGGTGGCAAGTTTTGTTTGTTGTTGGTTTGAGGAGAGAGGAGCCATTTCCAAAGAAACACAAAGATGGAGAGGAAGAGGAGAAAGATAGGGTGGAAAAGAGTTGCAATAGGGAACATTTCTCTGTTCCTTTTGCGCGACTTGTTAATAGTGTAGCCTAAGAAAAGCTCTTATTTAACCAACTTGGCCTAACTTACATGACCATCATTTCTTTCTTAGAGTTTAGTTTTAAAATGGTTGTGTTTAATTTTTCTTAGAGGGATAAAATTAAAAGAGTATAAGTATTTAGGTATTTTATCAAGAATTGGAAAATTTTTCTCCATAAATATTAATCTAACAACTAAAATTTACCGATAAAAAAAATTAAAAAAAAAACGAGCAAGGATCCTCTAGAGTTTTTTTTCCCTAAAGTTTCTTAGAGTGGTGCATTGTGTGGTTGAGATTTAATGACAAGTCACCTCAATTTTTCAACATTAAATCTCAACCACACAATACACCACTTTAGAAAACTTTAAGAAAAAAATACTCTAGAGAATCCTTGGTGCATAAAATATTCATATATGTAATGCTCGACGTGTTCACATCTATTTTGTCTCAATACTAAGCACCAAAAAAAAAAAAAACATGAGTAATTAATATTAAAAAAATTAATTACCCAAAAAATAATATGGGTAATTAATACTAGCAATACTAGGCATCAAAAAAATAATAATAATACTAAAAAATATGGGTAATTAATAGTAATAAAAAATATATATAGTAGCAGATTTAATGACAAGTCACCTCAATTTTTCAACATTAAATCTCAACCACACAATACACCACTTTAGGAAACTTTAAGAAAAAAATACTCTAGAGAATCCTTGGTGAAAAAAATATTCATATATGTAATGCTCGACGTGTTCACATCTATTTTGTCTCAATACTAAGCACCAAAAAAAAAAAAAACATGAGTAATTAATATTAAAAAAATTAATTACCCAAAAAATAATATGGGTAATTAATACTAGCAATACTAGGCATCAAAAAAATAATAATAATACTAAAAAATATGGGTAATTAATAGTAATAAAAAATATATATAGTAGCAATACTAGGTACCCAAAAAAAATTAATATATTCGGTGGTGTTGATAAAAGAGAAATGTTAGAAGCATTATATAGAATTTTTGATAATTTTTTTAGGATTTCTAGCATGGAGTTGGGGTGCCTGTTGTGCTCGGTCACAGCAAGCAATATTGTGCAGTCTTATGGGTTTATTTTGAGGTCCGTTTTGATAATCCGAATTGTTTGTATTTTAAAATACATCAAGTAGAATATTCATATAGAAAATTAAGTTAATCGGATATCGTTAACCCTTTCATCTATTTACATTTGTATTCATTTTAATACTTTAAATCACAATATCATTTATTTTTTAAGACACAAATGTAAGTGGATGAAAGGATTAACGATATCTGATTAACTTAATTTTTTACAAGTATATTCTACTTGATGTACTCTAAAATATGAAATGTTCGAATTATCAAAACAGACCTCAAAATAAACCCATAAGAGTGCACAGGCACCCCAAACTCCTCTAGCATTGGTTGTCGATAATTTTTTTCTAGAATAAGTATAGTTGGTGTTCCAAATTAATAACTATTTGTCTAAACAATAGGGCCATCACTTTTGTATTGGTAATTTAAGAGACAATATTGAAGGTGTATAGAGCAATGTTTTAAGTCTCCATAATAAATTTTTGGTAGTGTTGGAGTTTCTGAGTAATATGTGACATTATGATATGATGCTTTCAATTAATAATTTGTAGAAAACTTTATGGGTAGAACAACATTGGCTCATTTTTATTAAATAATTGATTGACAAACAATAAATTTCCCAGTGTGTTTGCAATTCTTTATTTGTCACCAAGTACCTAATAATGTTTCATGCTTTATACGCAACATATAGCATTTGAATCGTAATCTTTAAGTAACATGTGACATTATTACTATGGTGCTTCTAATTAATAATTCTATAGAAAATTTTAAAGGTAAGATAATGACCCATTTTTGTTAAATAATTGACTGATAAAGATAAAAATGTAGTTCTCCATCAGTCCATAACCTAAATTGAAGGACAGTGTTTAGACTCATAAAACCCAACACCAATTTCATTTCAAAATTTCCACTTAATTTTGGAGTTAAGAGTAGATAGGATTTGAGGTGTGATCCATTTGGAAAATGACAAGATGAGATCCACCACCGATTTCGTTTCAAAATTTTCACTTAATTTTGAAGAAATGATAGATGGATTTTGAGATCTGATCCATTTGTAAAATGACAAATGGATAGATAGGGGTGTAAATTTGGCCCAGCCTAGTCCCTGTCGGACCTTGCAGGCTCCTGCCAAAATTCGGGCTGAGTCAGGCCGGCCCATGGGCCAGAAAAGTAAGCCCAGGCCCAGGGGTATTTGGGCCTTGGGTGGGCCTAGCCTCGGGCTTGGGGGGGGCCTGAACAAATTTTTTTGTTTTTTTTATTTTTTCTACCAAAATTTTATTATTTTTTACTAAAAAAATGCTGGGCCTCGGCGCGGGTCGGGTCTCGAGCCTAACCATGTGTGGGCCTTAAGCAGACCGATAGGTCGGGATCCACGGGTTGGGCCAAGCTTTAAATTGATAGCCTTGACCCTGGCTCAGGGTCTCTGGCAGGGGCTCAGGCATAGGCCTAAAACGAGTCGGGCCCACCCTGAGCCGTGGGCGGACTTTGAACCGCCTACAAACTGCGGGTCATTTTTACACTCCTATGGATAGATTATTTGTGGTTATAAAGCCAAAGCAGTGGTGGAATCTTTTATCAATGATTTGAGGGATGTCCAGTTTACGTGGACGCGCGTCCATCTATAAATTCAAATATATATATATTTATTTAAAATTTAAATTATATGAACCAAATTTGTTGTCTTATCCACCCAATTTCTAGATAAATCTCCTACCATAGTTTCTAGATTCTTATCAATTCTATCTCCTTAAAGTGGTGGACACGCGTACCCAAGAGGGTAACGACTACAGCACCCCAAAATGGTTTTCTTGTACCATACCAAAAAATAAATTTTAAGCCCCGTTTGGAATGCTCATTTAGATTAAAATAGTTATATAAGATAACACAAGTTATTTTAGTTAAATTAGATAAAATATCATATCTAATTCATAATAATTTCATTTTTTTCTCACAAAAATTTAAAAAGTCAAAAAATATATCCCAAACGAGACTTTTTAACTCCAGATTAAAATAATCAAAGCCAAAAAACCAATCTACATCCCAAACAAACCCTTAGTCATTAGTTTTGATAGAATAATCTAAATTATTCAATATAAAATATGCTAATCGATTATAACCGGTAAATCTCCAAGGCTCCGTTTGTTTTTGGCTGTAAAGGGTGGGATGAGATTAGGATGGAGGTAGGGTCTATTTAGTGTTGTGCTTGTTTGTAAAGTTGGGGAAGGGATTAAGATGGAGGAGATGATTAAAATGGAGGTTGGAATGGGGATTGGAATAGAGGAGGTGGAGGTGGAGGTGGAGGTAGAGGTGGATGTGGTATTAGAAAAATAGTGAGGGGATTAGAAATTTTTTTATTTATTTTATTTTTTTACATGTTGGGCATTTTTTTTTAAACATTAATATTTAATTCTTTGTATTTTTTATTTGTTTTATTATTTTATATAAAAATAATTTAATAATTTCTACACTAATAATTATCATCAAAACAAATACAATTTTACTTAATCTCCCTTCACTATAAATTCCCTCTATTCTACTTCTGAAAACAAACAAGACCTAGCAGAGATATGCTACACAGAGCCCAACAATTTGCACAATTTTCATCCTGTAGTGGAGTAATAAAAGTAAGAATAAATTATAAATACATTTAAATTTATTTAAAATATAAATTATTTTTTTAATTTTAAAAATTATATTTTTTTCCTTAAGTTTCTAATTACATAACAAATAATTATTTTTATTAATAAAGTATCAAAACATTTAATAGTTATACGCAACATATAGCTTTTGAATCGTAATCTTTAAGTAACATGTGATGTGACATTATTAATATGGTGCTCTAATTAATAATTCTATAGAAAATTTTAAAAGTAAGACAATGACTCATTTTTGTTAAATAATTGACTAATAAAAATAAAAACGTAGATCTCCTTCAATCCATAACCTATATTGAAGGACGGTGTTTAGACTCATAAAACCCAACACCAATTTCGTTTCAAAATTTCCACTTAATTTTGGCGTTAGGGTAGATAGGATTTGAGGTGTGATCCATTTGGAAAATGACAATATGAGATCCACCGCCGATTCCGTTTTAGAATTTTCACTTAATTTTGGAGAAAGGGTAGATGGATTTTGAGATCTGATCCATTTGTAAAATGACAAATGGATAGATATGGGTCTAAATTTGGCCCGGGCGAGCCCACCTAGGTCGGCCCATATCAGGTGTCGCGAGCTCCTGCCAAAATTCAGGCTTGCTGACGGGCCAGAAAATTAGGCCTAAGCCTAGGGTGGTATTCAGGCCTTTGGTAGACCGATGGGCCTGGGCTCGAGCTTGGGGCAAACTTGGGCGAGCCTGAACAAATTTATTTGTTTTTTTATTTTTTTTATCAAAATTTTATTATTTTCTACTAAAAAAACATTGGGTCTCGGGTGGGCCAAGTCTTGGGCTGATCCTTGAGTGGGCCTTAAGCAGGCTGATGGGCTAGGCCACAGGTCGGGTTAGGTTCTCAAAATGATGGCCCAGGCCCTAGCTCAGGCTCTCGAGCTCGGGCCCAAATAGGTCTAAACGGGCCGGGCTCACCCCGGGCCGCCCACAAACCACGAGCCATTTTTACACTCCTATGGATTGGTACGAAGATACTGTTGCGCCTAAAGCGCAACAGTTACTACTGTCACTTTAAACAACAGCGTTTTGCTATGGTCCTGACTTTTCTTTTTACTGTCTTTTGTGTAAATCGCTATAATTTCTAAGGCTTGAGAAGTCATTTGCTGATGAATTTGTGCACTTTAATATAGTATTAGTATACTAGTATAAAATAAGAATTGTGGATAAAAAAATTTAGTTTAGTTTTAATACATGACTAATCGAAGATAAATTCTTATGATTTAAATCGTTTCAATGTGTACATTTTGTTGAATGTATTATTTTTACAAAAAAATTAAGTTATTGAGATATTGATAACCATTTGATCAAATCACATTTTCGTTAACAATTTATTTTGAAAATCATATGCCATTGATATAAATATAATCTGATCAATTGACTATCGATATCCAA